GAGGAAGCCATGGGCAGTCCTATCCCTGGATTAAATGCTTCTTCGGGCAGAGTTCAGCTTGGCCCATTCTCCTGTCCCAGGGCATTGTCTTGCATGATAAGCAACTTGGACAAAATTGACTCTAAGCTTCCGGTTCTGTGCAGCGAGTGGTCAGTGTGTGGCCTCCCTTGGTCCTTATGGGTTCCACCAACTCAGCCCCATGTCCTCTGGTCAAAGTCTGCTGTGTCTTTTTTGTTGTTCTTCACTTTCCTCCCCCTCTGCAGTTCCCCTGCCTCCCCATCCCATTATCCCTGAGAGCCACTTGTCAAAGGGATTAAAATCTTCACTGTCAGAAAACTCATCCTTATGTTTTATCCTTATTGCTCCTCCTGCCACAAACCACATTTCTTCCTGTTTTAGCCTCGGGGGGGATGAAGAACAGCCTGTCACCGGCCACCAGCCTCTGTATGTGGGAACCCCTTAGCCTTAGGCGTCGTGAAGTCTTTTCTGTCTTCAGGCACTGTAAACGCATCTCCTTTGCTGGGGGTCCGGTGGGGGGGGGGGTTCCTTTTCTTTTCTGGGAGAAGAAAAATTTTGAGAGGAGGGAGGAGAAAAGCAGGAGAAAGAAGAGAGCTGCAGCTGTAAATTAGTCCATCACTTCCCGAGCTGAGGGAGGTTGGTCTGCCTGAAGGCACGACCTGAGACGGTGATCCCCCCTACAAATGCTGAGCTCCTTGCAGACCAGGACCCTGGCAGACAGCCGGGCATCTTGGGTCACTTCTGTCTGCTTCTGCACAAATGGCTAATGGTGCACATTCATTCACAGACCCCAGACCCCTGTTTCTGCTAAATGGGTCCCACCCATGAGACAGCCTCTGGAACAAGTTGCCCCTTGCTCACTAGGACACTCCCATCCCAGAGGAGTGGGACTTTCAGACTCCAGATGGGAGAACAGGAAGCTGAGGCCCCAGGTCTGGCACGCAGCCCCTCTCCTTCCCTGTGCCCCGCACCCCCACAGTGTCAGAGATGACCTCCCCACACGCTGAGGAGGGTGGCTGCAGGAGATGACTAATGCATGTCATTTTCAAGATGCTCTCTCCGCAAAGAAAAGTACACTCAGATCCAGGTTTTAATTGTGTGTGATTTTAGCTGAGATGGCGTTAATTTATTTCCTTTGCTACTTCAGCGGTTCTTCCTCTTTCATCACAGTGAAATTATCTGGAATGTATCTTTTTTTTCTTAAGGACAAAGAGAAGCTGATCTTGCTCCTTTTCCTCTGATTGAGGTTTGGAACATTCTAGGAGCTGCCAGATGCGTTTAGTGGGTGCGACAGGATGGAGGCCCTAAAGTTTCCCACTGCCCAGTTTTCCTATCCTACTACTACCAGATTTGCTGAAGGGATTGCTTGATGTGGCAGAACCCTCACTACCAGACCAACCTTCTGACAAGTTCACCAAAAGAAAGGATTTTTCAGCCAGGGCCAGCTTCAGTTAGTTTCCCAAATACATGGTGCATTTTTCTTGCAGAACCTTCAGAGAAAAGGGAAACACGTGGACATCCACAAAGGGCTTATTGGAGGAGGGGACAGTGTCAGAGAAAGATGGGGTAGGCGGCCTCTAAGGGCCCCTGACTGGTGGGCCAGAGCTGTGCTTTCTAACTTTGGTTGGAAGAGTCTATTTGAGACAGTGGGCAGGGGCAGGGTGAATACAGTAACCCAATAATATAATGTTTTTTTTTGTTTGTTTTCTTTTCATTCAGATTTTCTTTGTGATGACCATAAAAATAGTACACACCCTTTCAGAGATTCAGCAGCATCTCACCCCAGAACTTTACCCTCTTTGAGAATGATTGTTGTTCTATGTATCTGCACTAGCTGAGAACATTTCATCAAGCCCAACTAAATGTAATTTTTATTATAAAATAATATTAATTTTCCAAACATAGAATTATAATATAATTTGAATATGTTCTTTCAGTCTCTATGTAAGTCCCATATTGGAGATCAAATCTCCCCACCCCTCTCCATGGAGAATCACTGAATCACTGCCATAATACCCAGCACAGGATAAGCAGAAAAGCACCAGCCATGCCAGATTGGGACTATCCAAGGACACTTTAGTCTCTTGTCCAAGTCACTCCCTCATCTTGAGAAATCAGTGTCTTCTCAGTCACCTAGGCACATAGGAGATAACTCGTTAAGTATATACTGCATGAAACTTACATTATTAAATTTCAAGTCTTCCTCAATTTACAGTGGGATCACATCCCAATAAACCCATCATAAGTTGAAAATATCTGAAGTCAAAAATGCATTTAACATAACCTACTGAATAGCATCGCTTAGCCTAGCCTATCTTAAATGTGCTCAGAACACTTAACATTTGCCTTTGTTGGGAAAAGTCATATAACACAGAGCCCGTTTTATAATAAAGTGTTGAATATCTCATGTAGTTGATTGTAACTGTACTGAAAGTGAAATATAAAATGTTTGCATGGTAAGAAGTGAGAGGGTATCAGACTGCTTGTCACCAGCCAGGGAAAAGATCAAAATCTAAATCTGAAGAAGGGTTTCTACTGAAGAGTTTCTTTTGTACCATCATAAAGTCAAAAAATCATTGTTAAACCATCATTAAGTCAGGGACCGTTTGTCTTGTCAAATGCTCGGCACACTGCTGATGTCCGACGGTGACCAAGTCCTCAATCAGAGGTAGCACTGTCCCTAAGGCCCCCAACACCTGCCTTCTCCACACGTCCTGTTTGTCTGCCCTCTGCTAAGAAATGCTGTCTGGTGAAGATGCTAACTTTCTCAAGGAACCTTGGACAGCCCTGAACATTCTCTTGTTTTCCTCCCGGATATTGACCATCTACTGGTTCCTCTAGGTTGAATCAGACGCCTAGCATATTGCTGGTCACGTGAGCCTCCACTGATGCCTGATGAGAGAGTGACTGAGCAGTCTGGTGCCTTCCCCTTGGCTGCCCCTCCGGTCCAGGGAGGCAGAGCTAGGGCAGGTTGGGGCTGGGTCATGACGCAGCTCCTCAGTGAACAAGTGAGTTCTTCTGACTGCATTCTCTATGCACAGGGCTCTGATTTACCAGAATGTGGTTAAGTCTTGAAAATCATCTGGGCAACCCATCTTCCTAGCATGTTTAGGGGTTTGTTGGAGGAAAGTATTACTTTGCTATTTAAAATTTGTTTCTAAGTTCTCTCTAGATTGCTTGAAATAGCTCTGCAGTTCAGATAGCTCTTCTGTCCAGTTTTTGCCCATTTCCCGCTGTGTCAGCTGACATCTCAGTCTCTGTAGCATGATAAGTATCAGTCGCTTTCCCAGTTGGACCTGGCCAGATTTAGTGGCCACCTCTGATCATGTGCTGGAGTTGTCTGCACTTCCCAGTAGTGCCTGTTTATTTGTCCCAGTTGCTGTTTCTTAAAAAATAAACATATACTTACCATATGATCCTGCAGTCATCTTTCTAGACATGTACCCCGAAGAAATGAGAACTTATGTTCACATAAAATCCTGTACATGAATGACCAATTTTATTTGTAATAGCCCCAGAGTGGAAGCAACCAAAATGTCATTCAGAGGGTGGATGGTTAGACAATCTGGTCCCTCCACACCACAGAACACAATTAAACAACAAAAAGGAATGAACTAGTGATACATGCAACAACTTGGATGGCTCTCAGAGCATTGTGTTGAGTGAAAAAAGCCGATTTCAAAAGTCACTTCTGCATGATTTTGTTTATATGACATTCTCAAAATGATAAAACTGTACAGATTGTACAAAGAACTGGTTAGAGGAGGAGGGGTGGTTTAAGAGGAGAAGAGGGGTGTGATGTGATCATAAAAACATAGTATGAGGTGTGATGGGAGCAATTCTTCATCTTGACTGTGGCACATGAATCTACACATGTGATACTGGGCTTCCCAGGTGTGGCTAGTGATAAAGAACCCACCTGCCAGTGCAGGAGGCATAAGAGATGCAGGTTCGATCCCTGGGTCGGGAAGATCCCCTGGGGGAGGTCATGGCAACCCACTCCAGTATTCCTGCCTGGAGAATCCCATGGACTGAGGAGCCTGGTGGGCTACAGTCCATAGGGTCTCAAAGAGTCAGACATGACTGAGCAACTTATCATGCAGGCACATGTGTGATAAAACTGCACAGAGGAAGTATACACACCACACACAGGAGTGCATGTAAAATTGGTGAAATCTCAATAAGACCTGTATAATGTACTAATATTCAATTCCGATTTTGTTTTTAAAGAACCTCTCTACCCTTTGTTACTACTGTTTGTCAGTCGCTGGGCTGCCTTTGATCTCTGGCTTGATGTTCAGGATAGGTTTGGAAGGACCAGATTCTGCTGGCATTTTTAAATATTAGGACAGTAGCTAAAATACTTTAGTTCTCCTTCTAACCTACAATGAGTCCATTTCCCCCAGAATCATTATAATCTGGTTTGGGAGCTCTGAATATTTCCATCCTGTGCCTCCTCTTGGGGTATTGTTTCTAAGTGGATTATCTACCCTGTGAAGTAGGAGTATAAACATATTTTGTTTATTTGATTATTCTAACTCTAATCAGCTTCACCTTCAAGTTTAAGGAAGATCTTGAATTCAATTACCAGAAGACTTGCTTCTATTGCTGCTTTATTTTGGGGCCATGTCTGCATTCTCTGAACCCGTGGTGTGTACCTGGAGAGCCGAGGCCCCACCCTGCTGTTGACATGGGTTACAGAGAGCAGCTTGCCCTAGGGGAGTCCAGGGTAGGGTCCTAAGACTTGCTTTAACCACACTCACCCCTTCCCCTTGTGAACAGCTCCAGGAACTCTGCTTTCTCTCCCTGCCCTAAGTCTCTGGGAGGGAAAGACACAGGCCTGTCCTGCTTCGATCACTTGCCATCTCCTTACTGCTCATCTAGGCCCACGCTCATCTTTTCTATCCTGATCTCTTGGGGCTCCCAGGAAGGTAAGCAATCATCCAGGAGTGCATGTCCCCCCTTTCTTGTCTTGTGTCTAGGTTTGCATGGACAAGACCCCTCATTTTGTGGATGAAGACCCTGAGACCTTGCAGCAGTTAATGGCAGAGCTGGTCTACAGCCCACCATGGGACTCCATGCTGCTTCTTTCGGAGAATGAGTTTCATGCATTTATTTCTGGCTAACTGTTCCGGTTTGTTAACTGGGAGACTTGGTGATGATAGATGTGGGACTTCACATGAACTACCCTGGCAAATAACTCAGAGTCAGCCATGTGGTTCTGTGCCCGAGCCCCTACTTTTCCTGGGGCCGGTGTCTCAGAAGGGGCTGGGGGGACGGGGAAAGCTTAGGAAAAGGGAGACAATGCCTCTGGCCCTTCTGGACATTCCTTTGCTTTTTGGTGCTCTGGCCCTTCGAAGCACCAGATTTACACTGAAGGATCGGCCTAGTCCAGGGCCAGGAGGGCCAAGCTTGAGGGTGTGGGCAGTTGCAGTGATGCTGAGGAGTACTGTGGGCAGACTGAAAAACATCCTCCAGTGGGCTAACCGAATGTCCTCCCGAACCAACACCCACACACACACGCACATGTATGCAAACATGCATGTCATGGGATTTAAGAATACTTCTTTCCGACCTCTAGTATGGTACATAGGGACATAAAGGTTAAGCTCCATCTGACCTAGTTTGAATCTTGACTCTGTCCCTTCCTGGTCTTGTCAGTTTGCACAAATCTTGTGAACACTCTTAGCCTGTGTTTCTTCATCCCTAAATAGGGGTAATGAATAGCGTCTATCTCACAGGGATCTCACGAGTCCTGGATGAGAAGATGTGTAACGCGCTCAGATTAGTCTCTGGCACTCAGTGAAGGCTCAATAAATGTCAGTTATTTTGACAACGCTGATTATGATGATAGTGACTATGAATGTTTTTAAAATTGTTCTATATTTGTGTCCCTCATGTTTCAGCTTAGAAACTACTTCCTCGAGAAATCTTGCCTGAGTCTACAAGCAGGGATGGAGGGCCCCTCCTCTGGGTCCCCTAGCATGCAAACTTGTGTACCTTACTATCTTCACATATATTGTTGGTCTTGCCAACTAGACTGAGTTATCTGAGATCTGCATCCACAGTTCATTTCTCTAGCCCCAAGGTTTAGCACAATGCCTGACAAAGAGTAGGTGCTCAAGAAATATTTGTTGTGGTGGAGATGGTATGGAGAAAAGGGAACATTTCTATGCTGTTAGTGGGAATGGAAGCTGATGCAGTCACTATGCAAAACAGTATGGAAGTTCCTCAAAAAACTAGAAATAGAGTTGCCATATGATCCAGCAATCCCACCCCTGGGCATATATCTGGACAAAAGAAAGAAAGTGAAGTCGCTCAGTTGTGTCCAGCTCTTTGCAACCCCGTGGACTGTAGCCTACCATGCTCCTCCATCCATGGGATTTTCCAGGCAAGAGTACTGGAGTGGGTTGCCACTTCCTGTAATTCAAAACATACATGTTCATGACAGCACTATTTACAATAGCCAAGACACGGAAACCACCAAAATGTCCATCAACAGATGAATGGATAAAGAAGATGTGGTTTGTATATTGTTGTTCAGTCAGTAAGTCGTGTCCAACTCTTTCAACCTCATGGACTGCAGCACTCCAGACTCCTCTGTCCTCCACTATCTCCCAGAAATTGCTCAAATTCATGTCCACTGAGTGGCTGAGGGGAGCTGCCCCACACCCGAGGGCAGTGGCGGCTGCCGAGGGGAGCTACACAGCTTCCGAGGTAAAGAGCAGTGGCTGTGCTTTGCTGGAGCAGCCGTGAAGGCAGGCCCCATGTCCAAGGTAAGAAAAACCCAAGTAAGATGGTAGGCACTGAGAGGGGGGATCAGAGGGCAGACAGACTGGAACTACAATCACAGACAACTAGCTAATCTGATCACATGGACCACAGCCTTGTCTAACTCAGTGAAACTAACCCATGCTGTGTGGGGCCACCCAAGACAGCTGGGTCATGGTGGGGGAGGTCTGACAGAATGTGGTCCCCTGGAGAAGGGAATGGCAAACCATTTCAGTATTCTTGCCTTGAGAACCCCATGAACAGTATGAAAAGGCAAAAAGATAGAACACTGAAAGATGAACTCCCCAGGTTGGTAGGTGCCCAATATGCTACTGGAGATCAGTGGAGAAATAACTCCAGAAAGAATGAAGGGATGGAGCCAAAGCAAAAACAACACCCAGTTGTGAATGGGACTGATAATGGAAGCAGGGTTCGATGCTGTAAAGAGCAATATTGCATAGGAACCTGGAATGTTAGATCCATGAATCAAGGCAAATTGGAAGTGGTCAAACAGGAGATGGCAAGAGTGAACATTGACATTCTAGGAATCAGTGAACTAAGATGGACTGGAATGGGTGAATTTAACTCAGATGACCGTTATATCTACTACTGTGGGCAGGAATCCTTTGGAGGAAGTGGAGTAGCCATCATAGTCAAAAAAAGAGTCCAAAATGCAGTACTTGGATACAATCTCAAAAATGACAGGATGATCTCTGTTCGTTTCCAAGGCAAACCATTCAATATCACAGTAATCCAAGTCTATGCCCCAACCACTAATGCTGAAGAAGCTGAAGTTGAACAGTTCTATGAAGACCTACAAGACATTCTAGAACTAATACCAAAAAAAGATGTCCTTTTCATTATAGGGGACTGGAATGCAAAAGTAGGAAGTCTAGAAACACCTGGAGTAACAGGGAAATTTGGCCTGAAACAAGACCGGGACCTGACTGTGGCTCAGATCATGAACTCCTTATTGCCAAATTCAGACTGAAATTGAAGAGAGTGGAGAAAACCATTAGACCATTCAGGTATGACCTAAATCAAATCCCTTATGACTATACAGTGGAAGTGAGAAATAGATTTAAGAACTAGATCTGATAGACCGAGTGCCTGATAAACTATGGTTGGAGGTTCGTGACATTGTCCAGGAGAGGAATTAAGACCATCCCCAAGAAAAAGAAATGCAAAAAATCAAAATGGCTGTCTGAGGAGGGCTTACAAATAGCCGAGAAAAAAGGGAAGCGAAAAGCAAAGGAGAAAAGGAAAGATATACTCATTTGAATGCAGAGTTCCAAAGAATAGCAAGAATAGATAAGAAAGCCTTCCTCAGTGATCAATGCAAAGAAATAGAGGAAAACAAGAGAATGGGAAAGACTAGATATCCCTTCAAGAAAATTAGAGATACCAAGGGAACATTTCATGCAAAGATGGCTTCAATAAAGGACATAAATGGTAGGGACCTAACAGAAGCAGAAGATGTTAAGAAGAGGTGGCAAGAATACACAGAAGAACTGTACAAAAAAGATCTTCATGATCCAGATAATCACCATGGTGTGATCATTTACCTAGAGCCAGACGTCCTGGAATGTGAAGTCAAGTGGGCCTTAGGAACCATCACTACGAACAAACCTAGTGGGGGTGATGGAATTCCAGTTGAGCTATTTCAAATCCTGAAAGACGGACACTGTGAAAGTGCTGCACTCAATATGTCAGCAAATTTGGAAAACTCAGCAGTGGCCACAGGACTGGAAAAGGTCAGTTTTCATTCCAATTCCAAAGAAAGTCAATGCCAAAGAATGCTCAAACTACCACACAATTGCACTCATCTCACACGCTAGTAAAATAATGCTTAAAATTCTCCAAGCCAGGCTTCAGCAATACGTGAACTGTGAACTTCCAGATGTTCAAGCTCGTTTTAGAAAAGGCAGAGGAACCAGAGATCAAATTGCCAACATCCACTGGATCATTAAAAAAGCAAGAGAGTTCCAGAAAAACATCTATTTCTGCTTTATTGACTATGCCAAAGCCTTTGACTATGTAGATCACAATAAACCGTGGAAAATTCTGAAAGAGATGGGAATACCAGACCACCTGACCTGCCTCTTGAGAAACCTGTATGCAGGTCAGGAAGCAACAGTTAGAACTGGACATGGAACAACAGACTGGTTCCAAATAGGAAAGGAGTACATCAAGGCTGTATATTATCACCCTGCTTTTTTAACTTATATGCAAGGTACATCATGAGAAACACTGGGCTGGAGGAAGCACAAGCTGGAATCAAGATTGCTGGAAGAAATATCAATAACCTCAGATATGCAGATGATGTCACCCTTATGGCAGAAACTGAGGAAGAACTAAAGAGCCTCTTGATGAAAATGAAAGGGGAGAGTGAAAATGTTGGTTTAAAGCTCAACATTCAGAAAACTAAGATCATGGCATCTGGTCCCATCACTTCATGGCAAATAGATGGGGAAACAGTGGCTGACTTTATTTTTCTGGGCTTCAAAATCACTGCAGATGGTGATTGCAGCCATGAAATAAAGGATGCTTGCTCCTTGGAAGGAAAGTTATGACCAGCCTAGACAGCATATCAAAAAGCAGAGATATTGCTTTGCCAACAAAGGTCCGTCTAGTCAAGGCTATGTTTTTTCCAGTGGTCATGTACGGATGTGAGAGTTGGACTATAAAGAAAGCTGAGTTGCAAAGAATTGATGCTTTTGAACTGTGGTGTTGGAGAAGACTCTTGAGAGTCCCTTGGACTGCAAGGAGATCCAATCAGTCCATCCTAAAGGAGATCAGTCCTGGGTGTTCATTGGAAGGACTGATGCTGAAGCTGAAACTCCAACACTTTGGCCACCTCATGTGAAGAACTGACTCATTTGAAAAGACCCTGATGCTGGGAAAGATTGAGGGCAGGAGGAGAAGGGGACGACAGAGGATGAGATGGTTGGATGGCATCACCATCATGATGGACATGGGATTGGGTGGACTCTGGGAGTTGGTGATGGACAGGGAGGCCTGGCGTGCTGTGGTTCACGGGGTTGCAAAGAGTCAGACACGACTGAGCAACTGAACTGAACTGAACTGAGTTGGTGATACTGTCTAACCATCTTATCCCTTGTGTCTCCTTTCTCCTTTTGCCTTCAATCTTTCCCAGTATCAGGCTCTATTCTAATGAGTTGGCTGTTTGTATCAGGTGGTCAAAGTATCAGTCCTTCTAGTGAATATTCAGGGTTGATTTTCTTTAGGACTTTGACTGGTTGGATCTCCTTGCAGTCCAAGGGACTCCCAATAATCTTCTCTAGCAGCACAGTTTGAAAGAATTAATTCTTTGGTGCTCAACTTTATGGTCCAA